TTTTTTTTTTGTCCTTTAGGTATACTTTGGATAATGATGTCCTAACCCTGGAACAGAGAAAATTTTATGAAGATAATGGATTCCTTGTCATTAAAAATCTGGTATCTGCTGCTGATATTCAACGCTTTCGGTACAGTACTATTACTTGTTATTTACAAAAATATGTATTATATGCATAAAATGGGAGTCTAAATTAGATTAGCATCTTCATGCTCTGATTTTTTTCAGGGATCAAACTCAAGACCTTGCACTTGGGAGGCAGGCAGTGGCACTGCTGAGCTAAATCCCTGGCCCTGTTTTTTGGTTTTTGGAGACAGTGTAGTTCAGGTTGGCCTTGAACGCACCATGTAGCCCAGTCTGGCCTCGAACTCTCAGGGAGCCCTCTTGCCTCAGCCTCCCTGGGGCTGGGATTACAGGTGTGTGCCACCATGCCCAGAGTTCCACTGTTGTCTTAACGATAATGTTTAGGAGCAGGGCTAATGTGCTAGGCTTAGCTTTGGTCTCAGCTAACGGCCAAACAGATGTGCCCCAGATTCTCAGCCCAGCGTCGCTAATCCGGAAATCCAAAATCTGAACTGCTGCAAAATCTAAAACTTTTCAACCACTGCTATAGCCACAAGTGGAAGATTCCACACCTGGACCTCATGGTATAAAGGTATAAAATCACCTTCAGGCTATGTGTGTAAAGGGTGTAGGCCCACAGGGGAATTCTGCATTTAGACTTTGGTCCTGTCTTCAGCATATCTCATTATGTGTATGCAAATATTGCAATATTTAAAAAAGATTCAGAAATCTGAAATGTTTCGTGTCCCAAGCTTTTCAGATCAGGGATAATCATCCAGTATCATTACAAATATGACCAAATCACAAGAATGTTTCCCTGCTCACCTGCTAACGGGGGTCCCCAACCCTGGGTCGCTGACCACACCTTGTTGGGAACCCAGGCCGCCCAGCAGGAGGAGAGCCAGAGGCAGCCAGGGAAGCTTCACCTGCCTCTCAGCCCCGGCCTGGCTGGCCTCACCCCATCCCAGGAGTCCCAGCCCTGCTGGGACATGAGGGACCCACGTGGCCAGCCGGCCCGGTCCCCCCAACTCCGTGGGATAAGTTGCCTTCCAGGAAGCCGGTCCCTGGGCCACAAGGGTGGGCATCCCCAGAAGGGCTGCAGTGACTGTGGCAGTGGATTCCAGGAGGGGGACTTCTGCCTGGGCCTTCTCCTCCTGAGGGCCGGGTCCTTGCCAATCTTGCCACGGGGCGGGAGCTAGCGAGAATGACCTTGTAAATTCAATTTTCTAGGGCTGAGTTTGAAAGAATCTGCAGAAAGGAGGTGCAGCCACCAGGAATAATGATAATGAGGGATGTGGACATTGTGAAGTCGAAAGACACTGCCGGTGAGAAAGTGATTTCAAAGATCCAGGATTTCCAGGAGGACGAGGAGCTGTTTAGATACTGCACTCTCCCCCACGTAAGGGCTCTGCCTATGTTTGTCTCTGCTTAGTAGGGGGCGTCTGCCCCCCAGATCTGCTTTTCACGTGGTCTCAGCCCTTCCCGCATTGGTCCTAGCACAGTGGTTCTCAACTGGACGTGATTTCGCCCCGCAGTGGGTTTGCGCCTGGGGACATTTGTGTGGTCCCAGCGTGACACAGGGTGTGTGTGGTACTGGCTTCTGATGGAAGGGGCCGCAGATGCCGCTGATGGGCCCCACAGCACCTAAAACGCACAGAAGAGCCCCTCCCCCAATAAGAATTGCCACCACCCCCCCGGGGGAGCCCGGACTGGGAAACCCAGAGTGTGCCGATTGTTGCTTGTGGAGAAAGGAATTCTGGGTAAAGAGAGAGCCCTGTGGCCTCACGCGGGAGAATCCACGCGGTCAAATTGTGAGGCTGTTATTTGTGAATTCACTTTTTTTTTTTCTTTTTGTTTTGTGACTCTGGACAGTAGAGGTACGAGTTTATTTTTAAATTTAAATTGAATTTTTTAAAAAAATGACTCTTTACAAGTAATGCGTGTTTATACAAACATCCAGGCAGTACAGAAGGGCCTAACGTGAGAAGGCCCCTGCCCCAGCCCCGCTCCCCACGGAGCTTTTTGTGTATTCTTCGGGAATCGTGTCGTGGGTGTGCAAGCCTGTTTGTATGCCCTCACCTCTCGTGTGTGTCACTTAGGAGCACGTTAGCCGTCGTGTAACTTTTCTCACTCACAGGGCTCTCGGTGCAACGGTGAGTCTGGGCCCAAGCTCACGTCTGAGTGCCTGTGGGCGGGTGGAGAGGGCGTGACTTTGGGAACCGACTCCGGCCTCGCTCCTCCCACTGTGCTCTGTCTCCTGGTCGCCATGATGTTCCACCTTGGACCCAGCTCACCGTGCACCGGATCCCCTGAACCCACAGCAAACCTTCCCTCCTTTAAGTTGGTATCTCTGATATTTTGTTTCAGCAACAAACTAATACATTAGTTTTATGGATATTCTTTTTACCTTTCATTTTTATTATCACGTTTTCTTTTTTGAGATGGGGTCTTGCCTTGTAGTTGAGGCCGGCCTAGACCTAGTGATCCTCCTGCCTCTGCCTGCTGAGTGCTTGCATCACAGGCGTGTGCTGCCGTGGCTGGCTGCCGTCCTGGTTCTTGTATGGCTCTACACTTCCTGCCACTTGCCTCTCCTGATTTCCCATGAAGTTAATTTTCTCTTCCTTTTCTTTTAGATTCTGAAATACGTGGAGTGCTTTACTGGACCTAATATTATGGCCATGCATGCAATGCTGATAAACAAACCTCCAGATACTGGTGAGGGACTTCTATTTTTTACAAAGGAGCAAGAGAAAAACATCGTTTAGTTAAAATATGTAAAGTTGATGTTGTAAACCTGGTCATGGGTATAACCGGCAAACTTTAAATGAGTGAATGTATATGTTTTTGTTTAAATCTTAAAATAGTTGTAACAGCATTGAAGTGTAGTAGTGATTTCAGATGTTGACTGTAGGTTTACTGCAAAATTTTCAGGTAGCCGACTGCCCATAAGTGCAGCTTAACAAATATAACTCTTCATGTGTCGTTCACATCTGTTCAATATGTCTGTGCCTTAGTGGGGCTCAAAATGTCTTGTGCTTGAGAAAATGTAAATTCTAAAACCTCACCTGCAGAGAGGCGGACTCAGAAGTAAGTGGAATTCAGGAGTCTGTGATTTATTTATTTATTTATTTTGGGTTTTTTGAGACAGGGTCTCACTGTGTAGTTTAGACTGACCTGGAACTCACTATGTAGCCCAGGATGGTCTCGAACTCACAGCGATCCTCCTGCCTCAGCCTCCCGAATGCTGGGATTACAGGCATCCGCCACCACGTCCAACTGGAGCGTGTTTTTGACAGCTGGTTCTGTTTCAGGCAAGAAGACCTCACGGCACCCCTTGCACCAGGATCTGCACTATTTCCCCTTCCGGCCCAGCAACAGCATCGTTGCTGCTTGGACCGCAATGGAGCACATTGACCGGAGCAACGGTTGTCTGGTGGTGCTTCCGGGTACCCACAGGCGCTCCCTGGAGCCACACAGCTATCCCCAGTGGGAGGTGGGTCTGCCTGGCCGCTGCATCTCGATCAAAATCTGTCCCTGTCTTATCCGTAGGGAGATGAGATATTTCCTTTCTTAGCAAAGCATCGTCCTGAGGTTTACAACTAGGATCGGGAGAGCTCAGGGCTGTCGGGTAGAATCCTCAGCCCTGAGTGTTTCCAGCGTGGGTGTGAAAGCCGGATAATGTGGGGGCACTTGGGTAGGAGCGGCACAGGCCTGAGAGCACGGGGCCTAAGCAGGGGTCAGACATAAGCACCTCGCGCCCAGCCTCCCTGGCTGACGGTCCTCAGGGTGAAGAGCGAAGCCCAGCAGAGGTTGGTGTTTGGGTGAACCTCGGAGGACAGGAGTTTAGGGTCAGGGGCCAGCGCGGCGTGGCGGGGGCACGGGAAGGACGCAGGGCTCTCAACCCAGGTGGACAGGCGCATTTTAGCGAGCAGCAGAGGAGTCTACAAAGGTTTAGCGCTCATTTAGCACTGTTGGGTCTCCAGTTTATTGGGGGACGGGAGCCTCCCCTCCATCAAACCTGAAAGCTTCGCGTCCAGCTACATCACCGGGCTTTTTAAAATTTAGTCTGCAGCACATAACGACTGGCTTCACACAGGGAGTTGGGACACGTGCAGATCACATCTTAATTCTTTTTATTTCCCTTTCTTTTCTCTTCCCTCCCGCTGCCCTCCATAATAATAATTATATAAATATAATAGACTTATTTTATATTTATAATACAAATAATGTTATTTTTATTAATTTTAAGAATTGATCTAAGTCATTCACTAAGAGGCCCATGCTGGGCCCAAACTTGAAATCCTCCTGCCTCAGCATCCCATGGTACCAGGATTACAGGCATGTGCTACCAAGCCCAGCTGAGGACTTGCTTTATTTTAGGAATCTGGAAGCGCTGTTATTTTTTCTCAGTTCCTTGGTGTATACTGTCACTTTTGGCACATACATGCACAGTCACACACACTTCACAGCCCAGTGAACTCCCTCCTCCTGCCCCAGGCCCCCACTGAGTTGCTTTCCATTGTTGTAGCTTTGTTTGCCTTTTCTGGGGGGTATGTGGATGTGACTTTGTGGGTGTGGATTCTTTTGCTTAGCATGGTTATTTCGAGGTTCAGCAGCGTTAGCTCCTTCCTTTCCATTGCTGAGCAGTAGCGTTCAGTCACTAGGCTCTGCCTCGGTCTGTTTATCCATTCAGCTATGGACGCTTTGCCCCAGGAAGGATGTGACTGAACCAGTTGTTCAAGAGAAAAAATTCTCCTGGTCTGGAGCAGGATTTGTTGATTATCTGGAGTCCAGGGCGGAGAACTGGAGAGGACATGCTCAGCATTTTAGGGTTGGGGCTGCAAGTCCCTGAAATCCCTGTTGGTGTTTGTGGTACGGGAAGGGCTGGAGTCCAGCACGGACTTCTCTCTCTCAGCAGCTTTGCCCGCCAAGCACAGGTCACAGCTTTCACTGCGATGTTCTCAGCCACAGACATGTCTTCTCTTCAGGGTGGAGTCAACATAATGTTCCACGGGATCCAGGACCTCAAGCGGGACAGCCCCCGCCTGCACCTCGTCATGGAGGAGGGAGACACTGTCTTCTTCCACCCTCTGCTCATCCACGGATCTGGGCGGAACAGAACGCAAGGGTTCAGGAAGGTATGCATTCACGAGGCTGCGGCTCTCAAAGATGAGTGGGTTAGAAACAAACAGCTGAAGATGTGAGAATACCTGAAAGGTTTATTTCTTTTCTTTTTAGTGCTGCTAATTGGAATTTTATTGGCCTTAAATGTTGCTTGCAGTTAACTCGAAAACACGCTGTGGTTTTGTAGTCCTAAAATAACCATAAGCGTGAGTTGTCAGTTTATTTGGGGTTTCCCATTTGTGCATAGTTAAGGTGCATAACAATACAGCTGTCACTACTGTGGGGAAGGCCCTGAGGTGTTTCTTTTACACCCCCACCTCTGTCCCAGTCCCTCCGTCCCTCTGTCTCTCTCCAGCACTGGCAACTGAACGAAAACCCTTTTTAAATTCTGCCACAGGGTCTCGATAAGCTAACATGTCAAAGATTTATGACTTTTCACTAAACCGAATTTTAAATCAGTTAATTTGCCGGCAAGTACATTTGCCTGCTTTGTGCTTTTTTCTCTCTTATCAGTAAGATTCCAGGTAACCTCAAGACCCTGTTCCTGTTGACAGGGAATTGTGATCGGCCAGTGTCCCTGCCGTAGAACACTATTTCACTTTACAGAGCATAGCCTTCGCTTTCTGAGGCAAAAGCAATGGCCGGAACACAAAAGGGACCCAATTTGGGATTTATATTGCTTGTCGTAAGCATAGCAGAGGAAAGCCTGCAGTGTCTTTACTACTGGGGAAAAAAGTAGCATTGCTGCAAAATAAGGGCTCTGAATTGGCTGCTTGAAAGCCAGAATTAGCAGACAGCCATGATGTTCTCATCCTCGGCCTTAGGATGTTTTAAATGTATTTCATTGCTTACACTGAGAAATTGACAAGATTCCTCACAACTTCCTGACTTCCCGCTGCTCTCGAATTCAGCATCCCCGATGCTAGCTTGGGCTCTCAGTTCCGGATGGTAGCAGGGTTGTGCACACTAAGCTGGGCCTTTCCGGTTTGCCCCCGGTGTCTCCCCTGGGCTCCTGCTCTGCACACTCCTACCAGTTCAGCAGGGCCGGCATCTGCCGAGGCAAACCGAGAAGCCACCCCAGGGCCAAACACAAGGGGCTGCCAAAAGCAATCAGCAAAGCAGAATGATCGTGAAAAATCCATGCCGTCACAGTGCCAGCATTTCTGATAGCGGGCGGCTGTGCAGTTGGGGTGTATCTCAGTGCTCGCAAATAAAATTCTGAGCTTTAATATTCTGACTTTGCAGGCTCTCTGTATTTTTCTAGCAGCCTTGGTGTTCTGGAAAGATGCCCACCATTTTTCCATAGCACATGGGTACAGGAGTCCAGGATCTCTCATGTAGGGGATTGTGTTCCATTCCTACATAAACCTTTTAAAAATAAATGGCACAGCTAGTTTTAAAAAATCCGTGTAATTTCTCTTTAGCTTTTAGCTGGGGTTGGGGCCAGAGGGTGAGGCCAAGCTGCAGAGAGTGATTTAGGGTTCACAGAGCAGGCCTTCAACGAAGCATCAGATCCCGGTGAAGAAGACACTGGTTTTCCGGAAGGAGCACTCCCGGCTTGTCGCTGGTGTTAACGGGATCTTTCTCCAGCATCTGTATTCACTCTGCACAGGCGATTTCCTGCCATTTTGCCAGTGCCAACTGCCACTACATTGACGTGAAGGGCACCCAGCACGAAGACATCGAGAAGGAAATGAAACAAGTAGCAAAAAGAAAAGGCGTAGTTGCAGGCGATTTCAGCATGAAGGTATGCAAGTATGGGACGACACCGTAAAGACACTGGGCTCTTCTTTTCTTCGGGTGCTCAACGAATACCTCATGTCATTTACATGTCTGTCATGCTTGGGCTTAGGGTTCTTTTCAGAGACCTTCCTGGCCCTGCTCACAATGACAGCGCGTTTCGGTTCACTCTTGCTTCCCCGGTTGGGGCATCCGAGGCCTCTGGTGTCCTGTGTTGAGTGTGCCATCCCGTGCCACATGGCTGGGCTGGGAACCAGGGTTAGACGCAAGGAGAGGAGGACAGAGCCTCCTCATGAAGGTGTGAGGGCGAAGGGAAAGGTTTGGAATCTCAGGCACAGGCCTCCTACGTTCACATGGGACAGTGACTGTGCTGTCCCATTAGGAGTTCCAGTGAGACCTCTGGAGGACAGGGTCCGCACGGCTTCGTCCTGACCACTTTGCATCTGCAGTTTTATGAGAGGCATGATTTGGGAGGAGCAGGGACGAAAGAGCCCTGAGAGGTCCCGAGCGTGTGTCACACACAGGTTCTGTCAGCCTTGTGCCAAGTAGCTCTGTATTTAATCCAGTGATTTATGTTGGTTACCTTATAAACGAGAGTCTATCGGGTTTATTTAAAATAACAATACTAAATATAATTCTTTCCAAAGTATAAAAGTACTTTTACATTTATTTTCTCTACCAAAACCCAGTAGAACCTAATAGAACAGCAGCCTAGCTGCTTGCTGTGAGGAAGAAATTAAGAGTCCCAGAGGTTGGGCTAAACAACCAAGTGAGATCTCAGAGCCAGACCCAATTCTCAAATCATTCGTTTGAACAAACAGCTAAAAGAGAAACAAGAATTAAGAACACTGAAATTGCTTTATGAAGCACAGTGGGGGTAGATACAAGGCAGCAACCCATGGCGTCATATTCACTATTATGATCTAATCAGGGTAGAACATCTCAGTGGTTCTGGCGGGACAGGGACGTCAAGCAGGGAGACAGCAGCAAACCCCACTGTGACCAGTATCACACCACTCGGTTTCGTCACCTGTAATTAGCCCGGTGTGAACAACCAGGATGACAGCTGAGGGACCAGTTGACATAGTGTAGTTAGCACGACTGTAGATTAGCTGGAGCCTTAGAACATGTTTCATTTATTAATAAATGAAACAATTAATTTTTTTTCTGTTCCCCATGTGCGGAATAGGCCAATAGAAATGCTTCATAAATTCTTTCTGTTTGAATCATTTCCAGGACATTTGGAAGTTTCGAGCCCGGCTTGTGAAAGGAGAAAGAATTAGCCTTTGAAATGGCCCTTCGTTATAACACTTTTAAAGGAAGTCAATCAAAGTGAAGCAAGGAGTCTAAGGAAAATGTTTTCTTATGGGGGTGATATAATCTTTTCTATCGCTTTTTAAGAAAATCAAGAAATACATACTGGGACTTAATTTTGCAGTGCAGCGCTGTTGCTTTAATGGAAGTAAAAACAGTGCAAGTGAAATATTACTGTTTTAAGAACAATTTAGTGGTTACAGATAATAAAAATAATTGGTGTGTAATTTAAATATGGGTATCAGTTTCTTTGATTGAATGAGCTCTTTACACAAACGGAATGCATTCTGTGAAACTCGGAGCTTGGAGTTGTGCCCCTCTTCCACCTATCCAATTTGTGTCCAGAGTAAGGCAAAAATAGTGTATTCACACATACCCAAGGGCACCCAGAGGGAACCATGGAGCCCAGTCTGGGACATAGGCTTCCTGACACAGCTTCTTCAACCGGAAACCCTCTCATAAAACACCGGTCTTTTCCTCTGTTCCTAAAGAACGAGACCAGGACAACTTCCTTTGCATTTTTATTGGGCACAGCAGCAGAAAATCTTCAGCATTTATCAACGAAACCTAACTTCTTCCCAGGCTCAGATGTTTTTAGATATTTTTCCTTGATTTGGAGTGTGCATGGGCTGGGGATTCATTTTGATACAGCACTGTGTTTCTGTACCAGCTGAGGGCACCGTGCAGACACGGTCCTCATTTTTAAAAACTCTAGCTAGGGTTTCAGTAGGAAGGAAATACTGAGTTCTTTTCCTGTCATTCTGCTAAGTACAAGTTTTCCTAGGTCTTTGTAAAGGCACCTCAGAACTTTGGTACCACTGGTGTAGGTCTTGACTAATTCTTTGCTTGGGACAGAAAGAACCTAGAAACCACCTCCAGAAGGAGACTCCAGCATCCTAAAACCTGGTAACAATGGGAGGCCACAATGGTCACATGGCTGGGAGGCTTCCAGAGAGCCTCCTACTGACCAGCAATAACACAGACCATTCAAGTTTCAATGTGTGTGACCCAGAGTTTAGTTTGCATTTTTGCCCTCACATTTTTGTTCCTCTAATACTTTGTTCAGTAAGAAGTAGCTTTTGGGGGCCGGGGATTTAGCTCAGTGGTTCAGTGGCCTGCCTGGCAAGCGCAAGGACCCAAGTTCAATCTCCTGTACAAAAAAAAAAAGAAGTAGCTTTTGGTAATTCAGTCTCCTTCTTCAGTAGCTGCCTCCCCCACCCCCTTTTTAGTACTGAGGATTGAACTCAGGAACTTGTGCTTGTGAGGCAGGCAGCAGCACCACTGAGCTAAATCCCTGGGCCTCCCAAACTGCCCCTTTTTGGGCTCAAAGTCTCAGCTCTGCTTTTCCCCAGAGAGCCTTTTATCTCTAGGTGTTCTTAGTAAGTCACTCTCTCAGAAGACCGCCCAAAAGAAGAAAGCTACTTCTGTGAGCTCTAGAACATTGCCTCTTCAAAAAGCAAGACTCCAGTTCTGCTCCAGGTTCATCCCAATCCACCACAGCTTAAATGGACACCTGTACTTGCTTGGGCTCCTGCCTTTTTTTGGGGGTGGGGGTGGTTTTTGAGGCAAGGTCTTGCTATGTAGTTCAGGCTGGCCCAGGATTCCCTGTGTAGCCCAGGCTGGCTTCAAACTTGTAGCGATCCTCCTGCCTCAGCCCCTCAAATGCTGGGATTACAGGCATGCGCCACCATGCCTGGCTACATAGGCTCCTACTTTTAATTTGATCCACAGTATGGATCATCTTGCTAGGGCTATGGCTGTCAGGCTCTCGGTAATTTATCTAATAACCCTCTTTGCTATGCTTCCTCCTCCACAGGAAGTGTGGAGATAAAGTTTAGAAAACTTCTCACACATAATAACATGGAAAGCATGTCTCTAGTTGTATCTGTGAGATAGCTGTATCTGTAAGAAAGTCCGAGGAATACTGACCTGGTAAGAAAGTCCTGGAACATTCTGACAGAGGCATTTGGCCTCTGTCTCTGCAGACGAATAGTAAAGTTTATCCATTCAAACCTTCTGATGGTGATCATGACTACAGCCCATGACTTTCCCAAGTAATTCATCAAGCTTTCTCCCGTTGAACAGCAGCTCAGTAGCCTTTGACATGAAATGCTAATTTTTTTGTCATATTTGACAGTTTTTTTCCAGCCCAGCTGGTGAGCCCCAGCATCCCAAGGTAGCCACGTAATCCCTGGTAGGCAGGACCTACAGCCCCTGTCTGCCAGGAGTAGAAAGACAGAAACCTCCACACCCTCAGCTTCTCCTAAAGAATTACAGGTATCTATGACTCTCTAGGGTAGGTGAAATCTGTGTGAGGTAGGGTTGAGTTCAATATTTGGACCACTGTAAAATCCCTAGGCCAGATTTCTAAGGCTGAATTGAAAGTTGACTGTGAGTCACAATGACACAGTGAAAGAACTCGTTTTGGGGAAATTAGACTTAAGCCTGGAGGGTTGGATAGGCATGAAGATGACTCGCTGTTATGGAAGGGGTCTGTCATCCGTGCTTATGAAGGCCAAAGTGGGGTGAGAACAGGAAGGGTTTTGGTTGGCTCTGAGGAGGAAATGAAACACTGGGACAATGCTTCCACTCTGCTGCTCTCCCCAGAGGGCAGCAAATGTAAGTATTTTGGAAGAGGAGTGGTTTCATGGAAGGCAGAAGGCTGTGCAATTCACTTCTGCACCTGTTCCCTCCTCCATGAAATACTGACAAATAGGGCGCCCTTCTAGGGTGATTGTAGGGACCAAACAGGAGAATACACTGTGGTGGCACCACTATGCTGCCCAGATTCTTCTCCGGAGTAAGAATGCATTTCTGCAGCAGATATGCTGCGAGTGGACTCCCCTCAGCCCCCTTCCAGGATGGCCTCAGCTGCAGAGCTGCATGAGCCAAGGTTGTACCCCTAGAGAGGGCACTTAGTCAGATGCCAGATTAGGGAGGAGCCAGCTGAATACAGGACTCAGGTTGGCTTCATCTCAGGGCCCCCAGTGTTGAAATCCCACAGTGACTGGTTAAGAGGCAACAGCAGGAGACATGGCCAGGCTGACAAGAGACACTGAGAGTGTTGCTGCCTGAAAGACTCAAGCCCCAGCCCTTTGACCTGAGGCCAGGTACACTCTGAACTTCAGTGGATTTGAAAGTACCAGAATTAGCACCCTGCCCTAATCCCATTGCAGGCTTGCTAGATTACCCAGCACCCTGCCCTAATCCTATCGCCATCTTGCTGGAATTAAACAGCATGGATCTGGGCTGTGGCTGCCCTTTTGGTCTGCCACCACTGGATTGGACACCATCACAAAACTGTAGACCCCAAAATATAACCACAGACTTCAAATCACAGAAACTTTTCTTTTTTCTCTGCTTTTGTTTTTGTTTATTTGTTTGTTGTTTGCTTGCTTCATTGTTTTTGGTTTTTGTGAGTGTGAACATTTTGTTTTGTTTTGTTCTTCTTGTTTTCTCCTTTTCCCTTCGTTCTTATGTTATTTTCCAAGACCCCAAGAATGCCCATTACGTAGTTTGAAAATTACCTCCTACAAGCCTTTCCTAAGGCTTGGGTAATCTTTCTTTGTCCTGCAGCCTTGCTTCTAATCTTTTTCTTTAATTTCTCTATTTTTTCCCTCTTATCCCTTTTAAATTTCCTCCATTTAAGGTAAATCACTCTACTACTGCATATAATTGTCTGCTTTGCCTTAGATCTTGTTATATAAGTATAGATCTTATACCTATGGTTAAATTTGGCAGATTAATAGTTATCACAGCTTGTCATTTTCTAGTCTGTGTTTGATGCTTTGTTATTACTGTTATACTACATTAGTCAAGGTGACATAGCTGTTGTGATCAATTGATTTTCCTTTTATGTCAATACCTAGATTGTCTGGGAGTCATAAACAACACTGTAGTTCAATATCAAAGAACTGTGTGTAGGCCAAAGAGGCAGCAACTTTTCATTCCTAATTAATGAGTACAGTCTCAAAAGCCAAAACCCAGCTATGGCTAGAAGGCATCTCTGAAAAGTAGCCTTTCCCTAAAGAAGTCTCAGTACCAGTAATACAGCTACCTACCATAATGATTTACAAACCTCAATGCAGAAAATAAATAAATAAATAAATAAATAAATAAATAAATAAATAAGAAAACACAGAAGCAAGATGCTACCCACAATCCTCAACTCACCCAAGGCAAATTAAGGGGGCGTTGAGGTGGAAGAAATAAAAAACCTCCCAGCTGAATTTTACGAAATGGTGACAGCAGAAGTAACACAACAGATGAATAGGTCTCTTGACAACAGTAAAACAGAGATAATTAGAGATGACACCCATAATGAAGGAAATCATTATTGAATCTAGAGTAGATACAGATGAGAGGAGAGAGAGAGAGAGAGAGAGAGAGAGAGAGAGAGGAGTTAAGGAAAGACATGGAAGCCATGAATGCCCAACATAGAAAATAACTGAATTCCATAGAACAGATTCAAATAGAGATCTAGATTATTCTACTGAAAGTACATGCAGCAGGATCCACCAATGTGAAGATAGAATATCAGGTCTGGAAGACAAGCTTGCAGCTGGTGATCACTAAATGAAAGAACTCTTAAAAATAGCAAAGGACCACAAAAAATACATCTAACAGCTGCTAGATGATGCAAAGAAGGCTACTATAAAATTAAGTGAAATCAATGAAGAATAAGATTATAGCACAAAGGGCATAAAAATTTATTCACAGAAGTAATAGCAGAAAGCTTTCCAAACATGGAAAAAGTACTTGAGATACAGTGAGCAAGGCATATAGAACTCCAAGTAGGCATGATCAGGGGGTGGGGGGACACCAAACTACACCAAGGTATATAATAGTCAAGATTCCAGAAATTCAAGACAAGAACAGAATATTAAGAGCTGTTAGAGAAAGGAAAGCCCATCAGAATCACAGAAGACTTCTTCTCTACTCAATGCCTAAGTCAAGGAGAGCATGGAGTAAAGTATTTCAACCTCAAGAAAGAAACAACTTCCAGGTAGAGGTTCCTCAAAAAACTG